TACCCAGCATGAATATTTCTGGTTTCATATCAATATGTTGCTTTATCATTTTTTCTAACCAAGTATGTATTTTAGTCCAATATTTTTTTGCCTTTGGACATGTCCACCACATATGATAATATGAACCTGGTATCTGGTTAAACTTCCAACATATAGCTGGTAGACTTTAAAACAACTTTGCCAACCTCTCTGGTAGTAAATGCCATCTATAAAACATTTTCTATAAGTTTTCCTTATGGGCCATTGACATTGTTAACTTGGGTTTTTATGGGTGCTTAGATAATATACGTAGGAAAGTCTGCTACCTGACAGAATGATTAAGAGAATATGCAATGTCATGTTTTTATTTAAGTTATGGTATGTGAAACCTATACCTGTTAAATATAAGTTGCAAATTTGATGCTACTTTGGTTTAATAGTTCTATAATGTGCATTTATTTTAGTTTACTAAATAAAACCCTTTGGAATAGTCTCTATTACATTTATTGACTATTTTTATACTCTTTCAAGGTATTTTTTTTCTGTTTATCCCACCCACTTTTGTACCAATTGTAGATTTGCTAAATATTCCCTTCATTTCTTTATCCAAATAATTAATGATGTCCACAGCCAGTTCGATCCTGAGCGGCTCAAAGTTGACTCAACCTTCTATTTTTCAAAGGTTGGTAAAATGAGGACCCAGACTGTTGGGGGCAATATGCTGACATTTGCAAACCACTCAGTGAGTGCTATTGCTATTAATGATGGGTAGAGGACCCAGGACTGATAATTGTTGGCCCATAATTTGAGACCCTTTTCATCTGCTGATGAGCATTCAAGTATGGTTTTCAAGGAATTATCCCCTTAATTGTCATGTCATCCCACCTCTATTAACTAGATTGCTAGTCAGTATGCTATGGGGTAGCTGTGAAATGCTTTGCTGACGTTAGAATATATCATGTCTATAGTATTTATGATTTCAGAACCTATTAAGGAAGATACCCAACTAAAAATGTCTTGCAAGACTTGCTTTAACTAATTAATGCTAAATTAATCAAGATACTAGCTGGAATAAGAAAATATGAATGCGGTCTCTATACATAAAAAATTACTGTCATGTGAAAGATTTTTTGCCCACTGTTATTTCACATTGAATAATAATAAAAATACTTAGAGTACTTAGGGCTGGTCTAGAAATAGCAAAGGACTGGCCCCCGGTGCCTCTGCTAGCAAAAATGGGGTGTGGGTAGGGCGTGCCCCCCCAGAACTGCTTTTGGCCTCTGGAGTTCTCAAGGAGGCCATCCAGGCCCAAAACGGAGCCTCCAGTGTGGTCCAGGCAGTCTTCTAGGCCCAAAACAGTCCATGAAGTTTTCCAGGCTTAAAACGGGGCCTCCAGAGTGATCCAGGGGGCTGTTCTTGACTCAGGTGGTTATAAAAGGGTGGAACTGTAAAATATATTGCCTTTCAGGCTTGCAGGATTCTGCTACTATAGCCTATGTCAACAATTTTGTAGTTCTAGTCTTTCTATGGAGTCAGTTTCTTGATCTGGTCTCTCTTTCATAAGGTGACCAAATATTTTAAAAAAACGAATTCATAGAAAGTTTCATTTTTATAAGTTTATAAAACCATGTCTGCAGAGGTGCGGTCCCATGTCATGCCCACCGTGGCCACACCCCACCGGCCCTCCAAGTTCAAACCCAATCCTGATATGGCCCTCAATGAAATTGAGTTTGACACCCCTGACTTAGCGTATAAAAGCTTGGGTGCAGACACATGCACATAGTTTTGCATTTGTGGGTTCCTTTTCATATGCATGTTTTTCAGTTTGTCATTGCAAGTTAAAGTTCTCCCCCAAGTTGGGCCTTCATGCCTCAAACTTTTCCCAGCTAAATTTAGAGTTATCAGTAGGGCTATTCTATTGGTTGCATAGTAGAGGAAGACCAGCTGAAACAATTTTGATCTTCTTTCTGAGTTTTTTTTTCACTTATTGCTGATCCTTGTGAATATTGAAACTTTTTAAGAATTGCAGTGTGATATATGTTGTTCTTTCTTCCTCACCATTTTTTCCACTTTTAGTCAGCTGCTGGCAGGAATTTTGTTCCTCTTTATTCAGCTTAGGGTTTGGGTAGCTTTTCAGCTGAAGTGGTCAATGTTATAACATACAAATAAATCAACAAATTATGTAGCTGGGACTTTCATATCAATCCATCCCAATGAAATCAATTCATGAATACCTTTCAAGTCATCAAGTCAAGTGATGAAACATTAGAATGTGGTCTATGTGTATGATCCAACCTGGAGAGAAACACGAGGATATGATTCTCAAAAATGAAACTTGTTCTCAAAGGTACTACTACTTTGGAGTTGATAGCAATATGGTAAGTTATTCTATGCTTTATGACTGAGAAATAGATTCATGTACAGGGTCAATCCAGTGACAAATATGCTACAAGCCCCGGAAATGTATTTACGATTGAAACATCAATTTGTTTTTATTTTTATTAAGTTTATGAGCACATATTTAAGGCCAGAAAGCCACATAAAAATGACAGAATCATGAAATAAAAAAAAGAGAGAGAAGTCTTTATTCTTTTGGTTCAACTGTAGTGTGGCTTACCGTTCTTTATGGTAATAGCATTTTCCCTGCATGCAGTTCACCAAGACACAAAGTCAACAGTTTCAGTAAAAGGAGGAATTAACATTTAATTTTTCTTTGTGGCTGGAATACAAAAAAAAATGTCCCGATGGAATCAGATATACAAGTTAGCTACTTAATTTTGTGGGGGGAGGTGGGGGATAATAATTGTGAAATCGCATATAATATTTAAAAGACTTCTAGTGCAGCATGAATCAATAAGAATAATAATAGTCTATGTAAACAAACACTGGAAAAGATCAAGGATGTTGAATAATAAGACTAACTGCTGATGCAGGCAGTGCTAGAATTTCAAACAAATCTTTCCCACCACATTTCAATTACAAGTTATAGCTATTTGGAAGCAAGTGCATTTTGGACTCAGTCTGGAAAAAATCACATTAAGATGTGTGCAAAAATACAGTACTAATTAAAAAAAAAAAAAAGCAACCCGGAAACCTAACATTCTCCCCATTCCCTTCTTTCGGCATTTTTCCACTTTGTGAAATTCTTCAATTAAAAAGTGCTATGAATAAAAGGACCTTCTGTGACATCGACCTGAAAATCAGTTTTGTCGATTATGTACAAAATGCTGAAAAATAAAACTGAATGAAATTTGTACACTATTTATATTTTGCCTTAGAAAATGTTTAACCAGTTATTCTGAACAGATTACGCTGTTTGCAATATGAAGTGTACAGCTGGCTACGCACTGTATAATACTCACATAAAATTCCAGAGAAGAATAAAAGAAGTCAGGGCAGAGCAAGAAGCTTCCCTCCCTCCCTCCCTCCCATTCCCCACCCCCACTAGCTGCAAACTATTGCTTGATGAAATGAGGAATGATGTCTGATTGAACAATTTTTGTTTCACTTTTACCACCAACATATGGCTTTCCCATATCAGATTTCTGAACAAATCTAAGAAAAATACAGTAGCGAAGGCAAGATAAACAACATGCATCAGTGATCGCCTCCAAACTACTTAATAATGATACAGAATACATCATATTTTCCTGTTCAAGGTTTGCGAATTACACTGATTGTGGTACATATTTGATGCAATAAATATTGTGCACAGGTCATTATTCCTTTGCTCAAACATGCACCACAGGGTTAAAGTAACTATTTACATAGACAGCTTTATCTCATTGACACATACAATGTCAACCTTGCTGAGAGCAGAAGATGGCTAAACAATACTGCAGGAGAAAGTAAAAACTAACTTACAGATGTCCCACTTCCCCTATTCCCTTTTTGGACAGTACAGTGCTCCAGATTAATGTAAGTGATGCTCCAAGATTCCTAAGAAGATTCTTCCCATATCTCCACCCAATTTTACAATTAAGAGTACAATTTATATATGCTCTTCCTCTAAATGTTGGCCCCTGAACTCGGTGGGAATGACGATAAAGTATGCATGTATGCACGTACACTGTAGTCAATGTTCATGTCACCTTCATAATGGAGTCGTGTGGAGGAGGAGGTGAGGGGAAGGAGGGGGGAGGAAAAACATCTGAGTTGAACAACTGTTGATTTTATGAGACTTACAGGCACATAAGAATTATCAGGATGAGACATAAAGATCTATATTATTTTTAAGCACCTTGGAATCTGGAGCCATCCTGAAACACAGAAGTCTTTGAAACTCTTGTGCAAAGAAGTCCTATTTGTTTCCATGCATGGTCTACAAGTGCAGCATGCCTTCATGCAAATCACTTCTGCCTATACATTGCAAGAGAATCAGACAGGGTAGCTGGTCCTCCTATTCCACCCTTGACCCTAGAATACCCCTCCCCACCCCCGCAACATAAAACCCATTTACAAAAATAGTCACATATAATAGTAAACAACCTGTGGATTAAAAAAACGACAACTTCAACATGGGTTTTTGTAAAAATATGGCAAACGGTGTGGCAGTTGGAATGCAAACAGCGGATACAATTATTGTTTCTGAGTGTTTTATGATCAACACAGGTCAATTCTAGGTTTGCATCTCTTTTCCTGATCCCTACAGTCTGGATAGCCATTTTTCTTTCCTCTTCAGCAGTGTCAGCTGGGAATGCCAACAGGAGATGCTTGTCAAAAGTGCCATCCTGTTTTACAGAGCAGCATCTGAATTTGACAAGGGGTCACTATCTTGTTAATAGGCACTGACCTTAAGTATATAGCTAACATTTGTATGCATATATATATATATATACATATATATATATACATACATACATACATATATATATTTATAGATATTTTTATATGTGTGTATGTCTGTCTAAGTGTGCAAAAACAGTCAGTTTGGCATAAACCTCCTATAGGAGTCCTTTTGAAATAATACTTTACTTTCTCAAGCTGTAAACAATTTGTCATAGAGGAATCATTCATTTTGCTCATTTTTTATAGTCCCTGACATCTTTACCTCTATCTTCTTTTTCTGATTTGTCTTTCTCATATTTATCTTTGTCGGGCTTTGTAACGCTATCGTAGGAAGGTGGAGAGGTGGTGGAGGGAGTCATATCGTTTTTTTCAGGGGTAGAATTCTCATTTAGCTTATCAATGATCATGTCTTCTTTGATAACTGTGTCGTTGCCTTCTTTAATTCTATCTTTATTAAACATGGAGGAAACTTTTTTAACCTTTTGCCTTAAGAGGTAGCGCCTAAAGGCTCGCTGAATAATAACAGCGGATACTTCCTCTTGTTTTCGTTTCAGTGTGGTGGTAATTGGTTCATAGGAGGCTTTTGAAGGGTTGGCAGCCATAAACCGGTCTTCCATTTGAATACGGAGGGCGTCCATTTCATCACTTTCACCCAAGACACGTTTGGTGAAAGCAAATAAGATGTCAAGGCAGTGAATTCTATCACCACTCACCATGGGCAGGTCCATCGCAATAAGCTGAACTTTGTTTGGTTTTGGTATTAGAAGAGGAGGATCCAAAGAGGCTGCAAAATCTGAGAGTTTGGCAAATTCTATGAATTGGGTTGCATCTGGATCGAACTTTTCCCAGACTTCATAGAACATCTCAAAATCATCCTCACTCAGAGGTTCAGCACTTTCTTCGGTAGCCACGCTGAAGTTCTCCAAAATGACAGCAATGTACATGTTGACTACAACTAAAAATGAGATGATTATGTAGCTGACAAAGAAGAAAATCCCAACCGAAGGATTGCCACAGTCTCCCTTGACTGAGCTACCCGGATGGTCTATCTCAGGGTCGCAGTCTGGAGGCCCGCTGTTCAGGATGGGCGCTAGCAAGCCATCCCAGCCAGCAGAGGTGGTAATTTGGAAAAGGCAGATCATGCTGTTGCCAAAAGTTTCAAAGTTGAACATGTCATCAATGCCAACTTCTCTCTTCACGTAGGCAAAGTTGGACATTCCAAATATGGCGTAGATGAACATGACCAGGAAAAGGAGGAGACCGATGTTAAACAAGGCAGGGAGAGACATCATCAAGGCAAAAAGCAGAGTGCGGATTCCCTTTGCCCCCTTGATCAGACGCAGGATTCGACCTATCCTGGCAAGTCGAATTACTCGGAACAAGGTGGGGGACACAAAGTATTTCTCAATAATCTCTGCGAGGAACATACCTATAAACAAACATTAAGTGCCTATTAATCTGAAATGCAGATTTAAAACTTTAATTAGAATGTAATTTTCATACAATCTTGTATGAAAATGTAAAGAATGAAACCTATTTTAAATATTAAAATCATTTGTTAATTTCTCATAGTTTTCATTTATAAACATGTTACATCTTTGACTGCAAGGAAAATTTTCTTACCTACAATAGATAAGATGACAACCACAAAATCAAAAATATTCCAGCCTATTGTAAAATAATAATAGCGGAGTGAAATCAGTTTCAAGACACATTCTCCAGTGAAAAGGACAATGAAGATAAAATTAATTCGATACAAAATAGTTTCCATTGCGTCAGTTTGGTCATCAGTTTCTACCATCATGGTAACCATGTTAAGGCAGATAAGAATCATGATGCTGATGTCAAAGGCTTGCTTTGTTACGAAATCAAAGACCATGCCTTGAAATTTGTTCTGTAGTCAAAGAAAATAAGGGATTATTCATGTATCTCATAATGATCACCTGAAGACAATTATAACCCATATAATTTTCATTCATGATCTGAAACTTCCGTAAATTTATTCTGTGTGTTAAACTCGTGGTGTAATGTTGCCATCACGTGATGTTTTATGATGTTTTTCTCATTTGCGGAGCTGCGGTGGGCATGTCCTGCATGTGATGCATTTGGCCCATGGGCTGCCAGTTTGACACCTCTGTTCTGTAGTATACTAGTATACTAGTCAAACTGCATAGACAGAAGGCGCAGCAAGAAAGAACACCGCTATGTTCCCAGAAACTCCATAAGTGTGAAGTTATGAAGTATGAAGCATTATGAAGGATATCCATTAATAGCTTTCCTGTGGGATTTCACGGTCTCATTGAATACATGAATCAGATAGGAATACCATAACAATTACTGCTGTAACTCTGTTTAGATTTGTTAATGCTAGATTAGTTTGGTCAGCCCCAAACTCATTTAAATATAAGGGACATAGCCTTCAGAGCTCTTCCAATTGCATAATTTTGGTGACATAATTATTGAAAATCTGTAACATGTTTTTTTCCAATGTGCCTAAGTTAGAAACCATTGAAAATTGTAGAGTAATCCAGGGGTCGCCAACCCCCAAACCACAGTCTGCTACTGGGTGATGGCTTGTTGGGAACAAGGCTGCGCAAACAGCAGGCAAGTGCCCGAAGCTGCATTTGCGCATGCGTGGCACCACCATCGCCAGTCCATGCAGCCAAAAAGGTTGGGGACCGCTGGCAGAATCCCTAAATAGGTTTAGCATAGTTTAAGAAAAGAAGAAGCAACTCTCCAACATGGAAAATAGCCATAGGATGCCATTCGTTGTCCATCTCAGTTACTTAACTAAAGGCTTTGTTCATTAATTTAAAAAAATTTTTTTTTAAAGATATCCTATTTTTTCTAAACCCACACCTTCCTTGGTTATTATTTTAAAAAATTTTTGGGAGATTATAAGGTTTAAATTGTTTTCCAACTCTAGCACACATCTGCAAAAACAGTGGGAACAATGGGAAAAAACACATAACACTTACTGCTGGTCTGGGTATAGGTTTCTGTGGTTTCTTAGAGCCCAGTTTTTTCATTGCATTATAGTATTTTTTCTGTTCTTCTGTCATAAAGATGTCTTGACCTCCAAAGTAAAAAGGACAAATAAAAACTAGTTACAACCATATATTTCCATTCTCTTTTTCTTTCTGTTTTTCTATATATTGACTTTTATTTGACAGGCAATTTCTTTTCTTGGGCTGCCTTAGGAGCAGCCCCAAATACAAGTTCTGCTCCTTTGTACAAGTGTTGATGTTGGGTGCATGGATGTACAAGTGTGCAGAGTTTCACCCTGGGAGCCCACCCACTCTTTGGCCTTCACTTCATTAGGGGTGGCTCCCTAATAGCTAGAGTATAATGCATCCTTCTTCCATAGTTCAGCTAGGGTCAGGAATTTAATCTCAGCAAAGTTAGAGTAGATTGAAAAAAAAGTATAGTTACTACAATGGTCTCTCAACACTGCCACCATCATTTCTGTCGCCATCATTATCATCATGTATTACATTTTTGCCTAAATTTCCTGTATTTTACAACAAAATAAAATACTATAAAATAAAAACATCCATAGTTGGGGGGGAAAAACCCCAAAGATAGTAAAACATCCAGGTTAAGAAATAAATGAACAATTGAAAAAAATATTTTTCAGCTCCCATGATACCAGTACCTTCAACAGCTAAAAAAACAAAACAAAACCCAAAGCCTCTATTGAAAAATGAAAAGCATGATAAACAAGACAATTATGGAAAAGGATCATAGCCCAAATGACTTCCAGAAGTGTTCATCTTTTGCAAGTTTCCGAAAGCCATTACTAAGAGTAACAATTATTTAGATTTAAGAGATCTTTATGCATATTTATATGAAGTAATCCATTATCTTAAAATGTAATTATTTATATCTCCCGCCTTTAAAACTAACTCATGGTGGAAATTTTTCATTTTATGTATTGGTTTTAACATCATACGCTCCTTTTTTACAGTGGCAATTTTAGAATTAGTGTTTACAACTTATTTTTAGGTTGTACACATTGGAATAATAATTGATATTTGAAAGAAAGAAAAATCCGAAGAATTACACAAAGCACAATGTTTCTGTTAAAATACAATCTTTGATAGTCTGCTGAAATCACCATGATAGAATACTTATCTTCTTTTTTTGCTGATTGAAGTTATCTATGATGACACCAATAAATAAATTCAAAGTGAAGAATGATCCAAAGATAATAAAGATGACAAAATAAAGATACATATAAAGATTATCCTCATAATGTGGCTGTTGTTCCACCTGCAAGGGAAACAAATTTAGAAAGAGAAAACCCTGTAAAAATATATTCAATTCTATAAAAAAATATGGGTATAATTTTTATGTAGTATGAACCCTGAGTCAAGCCTTATCATATTTAATATTTATATGATACCATTATTAAGAACAGCCATGGAGAAGAGTTTGACCAATTTTTATTTTAACCTTACATAAAGTATCTATGTACAATTATTCAACTAAAGCATTTATCTTCTCAGTGATTACTCACTTTTCTCTATTTGCTCTCCACCAAACTGGACTAAAAGATACATTGCTATTTTTATAACTAGCACAGGGTAATATGTTCTCATTACTTCCAGTCATTATCCTTTGATAGGAAAGGATTCCTGTATTTCCTCTTGAGCTTTATATACAAAGGAGTATTTGAGACCCATTTTTTAAATCTTTGCTTACACTGAAGGAGTGGGGCAAGAATTGGAAGATTTAATAGCAAAAATGGGTGCCTTAAACGTTTAAAAAGTACCACCTCTATTTTTTCTGCTTCTAGGGAGAGGTTATGACTCTATTTTTACCTCTTACATTCTCCCCTAAGGTAAAATACACTAGGAAACAAACAAACAAACAAACAAACAAACAGACACACACAGAGAAGTATCTTCTAGCCATAATCTCCTCACTCCTATCTCTGATCCCTGCCTTGCCTCTTTGAAAAAGAAAAAAAAAAGCAGACAAACACTATGATCAATGGCAAGTTTGCTTTCATCCTACTTGAGCAGCCTTAATTTGAAAAAGAATCTGATCCTTCTAGGGAAACACTTGCTGATCTGACGAGTAGCTATGGAGGATATGAATCCAAGGGTCCATGTAGTAAACCATGTAGTAAATAGCATTTGGGCTACCAGGCAATTACAAGATGGTACCAAAAAAAGCCAATTTATGTATGTCTTTTCTGGGGTCTTGTAGTCTATTTTTGCAATCCAATATTGGTTTCCCTACCCAATAGCATACTTACATTTCGTGAATCTACAGCTGCATACATGATATCCATCCAGCCTTTGAAGGTGGCCTGCAAGCAGAAAGCAGGCAATTATATTTTAAGCAAGGGGCTAAAAGCATACAGTACATAATTTCTAAATGTTCATGTTGTGTAAATTGTAAATGTCTTTTAGAAGACTCCATGCCCCTCTGCCAGTTACATTTCATGAATCTACATCTGCATGCATGATGTCCACCCAGCCTTTCAACCCATATATATTCTATTAAGAAGGATTTTTGAGGAGTTGGTACCAGATTGTGTTACAAGAAGTAAAAAAAAAGCCAGGTAATTTTTCATCAGGCCGTGTTGAATTTTACCCAGAATGGCATTCTGTTTAGTCACCATTGTTCTTTACAGCTCTGTAAAACAGCCATTCTCATTGTGTCTTCTCTGGTTATGAATATTTTCCTTTATTAAATAGGGGTAAGTGAGATTGCTTGATTGCAGTATGTGTAGTGAAATAAATAAACGACCTTTCACAGGGGCATCTGTATTTTACTAATGATCATTTTAGTTCATGTATAAGATATGATTTACATGGCACGCAAAAAGTTTGCTAACAGGTGTATTTTAGAGGAGACCTTAGATGAAAAAGATTAAGGGATGCCACCTATGATGCAAATCAATCCATTTCAAAAACTGACAGCTGAATCATTTGTAAAGTTCACATTGATGGGATTTTCTAATAAAGGAAAAACCAGCTAAAAAGAGGAAATAAAATGGTCGTGTTGTTCAAATTTTAACATAGAAAGAGCAACTACTCACTACTTGAAGCAGAGAGAGGTAGCCAAGTCCCACATTATCAAAGTTGACTTTCACATTCTTCCATCTGGCTGTTTCATTTCTTTCGATGAGATTCTCACACTCAGTCTGATTGTCAACTTCATCAATGCTGAACATTTCCCCAGTTGTGGTGTTAACACAATGGTAGAACTTGCCAGCGAACAGATTCACTCCCATAATGCTAAAGATTAGCCAGAATATAAGACATACAAGAAGCACGTTCATGATAGATGGAATTGCTCCCAAGAGAGCATTCACCACTACCTGTAATACAAAGTAATAAACACATGAAGCCAAAGAAGTGAAAACATATTTGCTGAAGTGAGACATGAAAAGGAGAATTTCTAATTCATAGTTTTGCTTCTTGGCAAATTTGTGCTATAATTTAATCCCAGCTAAAGCCGGCAATGGTAATAATAGATTATGAAAAAGAGATCAGGACTCAGGCATAAACATTGGTTTGAACAAAGAAAATTACAAATTTAGGAAAAGATTTGAAGAAGAAAGACTTTCCAGAATGTAGCTTCACAAAATTGAAGAGGAAGGACTATAATATATGACAGAACATAATTGAAGGTTTTATAATTCCAGTGCAGCACCCTATCAGTACCCTAACCCTAGAAATACTCCTTCCTCACACATGTGGAGAACCAAGTTGCAAGTCAAAGGAAAATGAATTCTAAGGAAAGGAAGGACAGTTCAAGTGTCATAATGAAGCAAACAAAGCCTTATGAAAAGTAATTTTTCAGCTGGTTTATATGTTACCCTGACAACACAGCAAGAAAACAAGTAGCTGCATTTCTGTGTTAGCCGGGAAACCATATGCATATGGGCTCTCCAACTATTTCATTTGTTTTCTTTACTAGTACCATAGGGTAGATAGACCTGTGGAATTAATCTGGAAATAATTGGTTTGTGGTTATTTCTCGCTAATGTATGTCCTGGCTGAGATATGAACTCCAAGGTTTTGGGTTGGCCATCAACCATGGAGCAGATCTCCATGCTACCTCTTGATTTTTTGAATCAAGGACATCTTTAAATGATCAACACATCTTTAAATGATGTGTTTTTTTCAAAATTTGGGGCAAGGATACAACAGAGAGAAATGTAGCACTATTTTAGCTAGCTTCCCCCCCCCCTTTTTTTTTTTGCTTGCTTGCTTTTCTTTAGTCTGGGATATCCATGATTTCAGAGCTATGATTTAAATGAACATAAATAATCTGACAATGAGGTAAAGAACTGCCTTCAGACATTGCCTAGATATACTGAAACTATTTCTCTCATGTTGTCTAGAGGCTAAGGGAATAGAAGTAGCATATTGCCCAGGGGCACTCTAAACGAAATTTAAACTAGTGGCTTTGAGATACACATTTGTAGTATACCCATAAGAAAATAATTTGCTTCAAGCATATGTTATTTCATATTTTTCTTACCCTCATTCCTTCGAACCGTGACAAGGCTCTTAGAGGTCTTAAAGCTCTTAAAGTCCTAAGAGATTTAATTGCACCAAGTTCAGAGTAGCCCAAGGCATTCGCTGTTAAGCTAACGATAGAGACCTACATATGAATAAAAAAGGAAAAAGAAAGCAATTTACTGTGTGAATCAGCATGTGTTTCTCAAGAAATTGCCGGTAATGCCACTTCTCCCCAGTCTGTCAAAGCTGAAGATTATCTTACAAAATCAAACTAGTTCAGAGGAATATAATGAGTGATATCAAAGAAAGAGACGGCAAGAAAACGAACTGAAGAATCTTTGATCCTACTCTGATGTTTATAATTTTTATATTTATTTATTTGAAGCCTGCCTTTATTACATTTACAAATAATTCAGGCAGCAAATATATCCAACACACTTTCCTCCTATTTTCCCCACAACAACAATGCTGCAGGTGAGTAAAGCTGAGAGAGAATGACTGGCGACCCAGCTGGCTTTCATGGTTAAGCCAGAGACTAGAAGTCACAGTCTCTGGCTTTCTTGTCTGGTAGCCTCTTAGCCACTGGACCAAGCTGGTTCTCTTTTTACTCCAAAGTTTACTCCAAAGTTTGCTCCAAATTTACATTTCTCATAAAGTCAGTCGGCAGATCTGAATCAATTATAGGAAGATACAGTAAAAAGTATTTTTTACCAGATTTAATAATTTTCTGCTTTTCAACCTTGTGCTCGTTTTTGTCTTCTGTTGTCCTAAATGAGCAATTTGACCAATATCTCAATATTTAAAAAAAAATCATCCTGGCCAAATTACCATAACTGAAATTCAAAAGGATTTGTGCAGGAAACAGTTACAACGGATGGGTAGAAATTATTACTTTTTCTTTCATCTTGCACTATTCTCTTATGGAATTAGACCATCTTATGTTGCTTATTTGTTTATAAAATTTACTGGCCGTTCATCTTACCATAGGGTAACTCTGGGCAGCTTACAGTTACATAAAAACTAAAACATAAAAAGTTAAAAACAAACATCAAACCAAAGACACATGGGGAGGGCCGCGCCAGAGTGGGGGAGCGAGGATGAGGTGGGGTTCTGTTATCACTCAGTAAAACAGCTCTTATGGAATGATGGAGGATTCACCAACCCCTAAGTATTTCTGGCTAATTCCTTCCAGTTTTTGACATGCTCCTGACTCCTGCTTGTAGGAACCAGAATTATAATGTCTTCACCAGTGTACCCATTTGAAATGACATGTGCTCAGTCTCTAAGGAGGTCACTTCTCTCTTCCAAATCCTTTGTTTTTTATACCTCCTGGCCTGCCTATCTGCCTTATCACAGCAGCTTTATAGCTTTGCTTCACCCAAGTGCGTGGGATAGATAGCAATCCCATAGTCTGTACTGGTAAATCACAGAATAAGAGAATGATAAAAGTGAGCTAAAATCTATTGTGCTGTCTTCTGTAACTAATATGAGCTTGAGACATGTGCTAGAGGAAACGCCACCAGGGAGTCAAAACAATAAATCAAATGTTAATTATAAGTTTAAACTTACTGGAAATCATAAATACTGGTAACAATTTATCCCTCTCAACATTTTGCAAGTGTCTCAAGACCTGGCTATGTTATTAGGCCTGAAGGTCCCAAGGGATAAAGGAGATTTTGCAACGGCTTTTTTGATAGCTCCCTTACTGCAGTTAATATTACCCCTCTCCCATTTTATGTGCCTTTTTGTTATTTTAATTGTGAAGTTTTTATGTGATTGGTTTTATTTAATTAAGTGCTGTATGTGGCCCAGAGTCACTTTCATGTGAGAGGGGCGGCTAAATAAATATGATAAATATTGTTAAAAATATAAAACCTTTTCCTTTCAGATTAATCAGCCTCCTGTGAAAAGAGAGGCTGCTGGGGAAAATATTCCTAAAATGTGGCTGAAGTCAGAAACATGATGTTAAAAAATATTCTTCCTAAAAATAGTATAAAAGAAAAATAAGATTGTATGGTCTGCTCTTGCTTGGAATCATCTTGGGTAATAAGGTTCAAAGATGCATGAAAAAGAAGAGAATTATACAAATCAGAATCTGCACATATGAAACTGGAGACAAAGTTATTGGATTTTCCTTTAACTGTTCTAGAATGTACAGTCTTACTTTTTGCGGTTCATGTTCATCTTGTTCTTGTCATCCCTCTCTCCCTCTTTCTTTCTCTTTCCAAAGATAGAAATTTTGAACCTTTTGATCTCTTGAGCTTTGTGGGGTTTTTTTGTTTTTGTTTTGCCTTTCCAAAGAGGATGGAGTAAAGTACTATTTGGTCCTACTTGCACAAGAATGGACTTTTCTCCCTTGACTGCCCATCTGTTCCTATCCACTGCTCACGTGCTTAGATGAAAAGGAATCAGATATGACTCTGGAGATGGCTGAAATGAACAAAGGTAGTGAAGAGGGGAGAAATGTTTGGCCATTCTTTGCTTCCTTCCTCAAATATTATCAAGGAAATAAGAAAGTTTTTAATTTTGTGGACCTACAGATGTCCTATTACATCTCATTTCAAGCTTCCTGATAGGGGCACCATACTTCTACCTCTCTGTATTCCGGTTCCAGAAGTTTTGCTTCATCAAGGGAACTCCGCTCAGTGGCAATTCTACTGAACACCATTCACCCAGCTGAAAGCAGAAGTTTTCCTTTTCTGAAAGTAGTGAGTTTATTGTATATACAATGATTCTTATAAAAATTCATGCTACAAATGTATTAATTGGTAAAAGAAAAAAATACCTACATCAACAATGAGGAAATCCAGCCAGCACCAGGCATTTGTAAAATAGACTTGAAAGCCATAAGCCACCCACTTCAGAAGCATTTCTAAAATAAAGATGTAGGTGAAGACCTTGTCTGCGTATTCCAGTACGGTCTTGATAGTCTTGCGTTGCTCAATGTATATGTCTTCAAAAGCCTGGGGACAGAAGTTCCCCCCAACCCATGGTTTTAGCATGGCTTATTATTTATTGTTTGCTTTTCAGTTCTAGAACTAAAAACCAGTCCTCCCCTCTTTCTATTGAAAGGCTCAAATGCTTCACCTTAATCAATATATATATATATGTTAAATCAGAATATGATAAAAATATCAAAAGCATTTTTTTTTAATATTTATAGAGTCTACTTTATAGAGTTTACTGGTAGAAGCCATACCTTAGTGGCTGATGACATGTTTTATATGTAGTGCATTGCAGAATCAATCATTGGCATCTTTAATTAAATTAAGATATATCCTTGGGATTCCACTCCCAAATTTCACAAACTAAGCTAAATAAAGTTGTTTAACCATATGTAGCTCTTATCTTTCTTCTGTTCCATTCCATAGAAAAATAAAGTTACAAAGAAATTTTCAAAGGTGGGCAAAGCCAAATGTCATGCTAATTCTGACTTTAGACCCAAAGTCCTATAAGCCTAAATAAGTTGAACTGATCATTTCCCTCTCTAATCCCACATAGAGAAGTAATAGTGGAGTTTAAAACATCAAAAAAATCAACCCTCTTCTGTAGGAATATTATATGGAACAATTTAAAGAGAAAACGTGTATTGAAAACCACTTTGGTGCAGAAAGCCAGGTATTTAACTGGTACTGGGAAAACCCAGCTTCAAACCTACCCTGAAATACATAAATTCACTGTGACTGTGACTAATTGCTGTGTCAGTCAATTATACTTGTAGAGGTGTAATTGTGAGGAAAAATGGTAAGGCAGAATGTTATGGGTAGCACCTTGAGCTCCTGACTGAAAGGTGGGATATAACTCTAACAATTAAGTAATAAAATCATACTACTTAGGAATAGCTCTGACTCATAGAAAAGATAATCCCTACTAGAAATTCAGAGGTTTTCAGATAATTATGTGTCTGGGTTATTTCCTACGCTAAATCTCTATGATAATGAATGGTTTTCAAGTTCTAAAAATTACCAGAGCACCACTGCTAAGGAGAATCATGAAGACAATAAAAGTCTCAAACCAATTATGTTCTACGATTTTGTAACAAGTCTTCCGAAGATTCCACCATAGTTTTCCTTTCCCATCTTCTACACTGACTTGGCAGCACTTGAATTTCCGGATGCAGCCTGGCAAAATATGCAAAATGATATGGCAAATGAAAACAGAATAATAGGTATAGTACTACATGTCTTGAACAGAATATACTCTTAAACCAGCAGATGGCTTTGGAGCCCTTTCTCATTCTAAAATTAATAGGTCTACATTTGAAATGATGCTTTGGAAATCTACTATATTGTCAAAATCAGTTTTCATAGGACAGTTTCAAAGGAAATTGTTCATTACAACTGAGGCTTTGTATACATGTATTTCAGCTGATTCAAGATTCTGTCCCGGTGCCTGGAGGTTTGGATGGGGAGGAACTGTCTCTAACTCAATCCAATGAAGATGATATGGCTATGCATATTTGAAATGTCCAGATCTGAAAATATTCCATCTTGAATGGGATTCGACCTCTCCCTTCAAGGGTGGTACATGATACAGGTGTCTTCCTAGACTCACAGCTCTTGCTGAAGAGTCAGTGTTACTAGGAAGGCCTTTGCACAACTCCTTTTGTATTCCAGTTGTGTCCTTTGCTAGATCCAGGGCCCTTAAGACAGCCACGGAAAGATTTGTAATATTTTATATTATTTACCTTCTGTAAAACAGGCTTCTGGTTCAAGAGCTTCTTCGGGTTCAGCTTCAGGTTGTTCTCCAACTTGGGGAAGTCCAACATCAACTGTACTACCTTCAGATGAACTAGTTGCATTTAGTTTCTGCAAATGAATAAAAACCTGTTAATGACAGCTTTGTCTGTTAGGGCCTTGGATGTGCTTAGTACATTTCAGAATGCTCTCTTTTTTTAAAGGAACTTTGAAATAAAACTTAAAATAGCCTACGCATATATTAATGCCAATTTATTTCCTGAACATGAAAGCATAAGAAATTATATTCACATGGATTTCTCCATGATGCATTGTTACATTCGTACTACGAATCACAATTTGGAACCAAATTTTTTAACACCGTGAGCCAATTACAGAATTAAAAATTCAGAAATGCTTTATTAGCATGATCCATAGCTAGCTGGTTATTCAAATGAGGTAAAACAGAGAGCAGTATGAATTGTAGCATTTCCCCAAAATTATGACCAAACCAACCAAAAACTGAAAGCAGCATTTTCATGTCTGATGCAGATAGAATATGCATAAGCAGCAAACTATATTTAACCGGTTACTTCCCACTGACATGAAAACACAAATTATCAGTGTGTATGTACTTCTAAGTTTCTGTAATTCAGAAAGGAAAGCAGCATATTAATTTCAGAGCAAGAGCCATTATTTTGCATTCTCTTTTGGCAATGCACTTGCACAAATGACTGTGCATTTTAAAATTACTTTTTATTCTTGCATGGTACACATATATCTCCTTTGAGTACATAGTGAAACGTACGTATGTATTATTTGGCATAGCATTTAAAATGCAAAGTTGACCTGTTTTGGAAGCAAGGCTTTACCCTAATGATGAGAAATGCTTTTGACTAAGCTTTCAACTGATTTCCTGATCCTATTCATAGAAATGAATGTTGTGCCCCATGAAGATAATATGAGTACCATTGTGAATAAAAGTAGTGATCATGTCATTTTTAGCCTTGTACAATGTTATTAATATGTATAACATTAACAAAATGGCTGCACTGGTAAGTAACTAACTTTATGTGGGAATGATGTAAGCAGATGGTGAATTGTCACATACTTGTATCAGTCTTTTTTTTTAAATAAGCTAAAGCTATCGGCATTTATTCATAGGCATCAAGCTGGTTTCATGAACTCTAACCAGCTTAAATATTAGTCTGATGAAGAAAGTACTTTACCATCTTTGTTCTGCTCCAGTTTGAGACGTTAATTTTATAAACAGCAGAAAGATTTAGTTACCTTTTAAAACTTACTGAAAGCACTTTGGATGAGCCAAGCAGTTTTTGTCAACGAAAGCAGGTATTTGAAGAGTCTCATCCCATTTGTACCTAACCACCACACAAACATCTGGCAACATCTTTTTTTACACAGTGCCCCCAGGATGATGCTTGTAACCCTAACCCCAAACCACTGAAAGAGACAGCTTAAACCTTCTTTTGCTGTATCAGTGTGTCCCCACTCCCTGCCCTTTATTCTGACATCATCCAAAAGGAGCCTCAAGGTATGTAAAATCTGTTCCTCTGTGGCTCTTATGTCTTTTTAAGGTGGTCAAATGATTTTAAAAACAGGCATCAGATGCAGGACAGAATCATGATGAGGACGGAACGTGTGTCAGTCTCATTTTTTGCCATCTCAAGGATAATGGTTAGCATGTCTATTCTGTTATGGAGGAAAATACCTGGCTTATTTCAGCCAGTTTGTGATTAAAACATTGGTTTCTGAAAAATATTTAGAATTTCATGTTGGTTACTGCAATCTATTTCTAGAAGGCTTCAAATAATTACACCCCGCAATAAACAACAGTTTATTGTTACTTGAATTTTGAAATGTTACAGTAGGAAACAAATCAGAATTAGTCTGAAGGCATTTTTCAAACTCAATTCTCCTAGTTGCTATGTAAACCAATATTAGGGGATTAATTTTGTATTACAAAGAAGATCAACTTCTAAATATTTCACTATCAGTAAACAAAGTAGACATTATTGCTTAGAGAACATGCTACTGTATTCATAACATGTATGAATTATAGTTAACTTAAAAAATAACCTTGTTAATGTCATGTAGTAGAGCTGTAATGGAAATACAAACAATGCATATTTATTCATAATTATATATTTTTGAGAGTACAAATAATTACTCTATACTGACCATATTAAAAATAATGATAATAAAATTTACAATTTTTGATACTTTCCACTGAGTTTTTAGTTATGAAAATCTAAATTATGCTTTAATTACCAGTAATAGTCTAACTAAAATGAAGTAGAATATAACTTCTTGATCACATGGTCCAAGCAGGCTTCTGTAATTAACTGGCATATTTTCAAAACCAGTCAAAATAATAACATTTCAAAAAAATCATATTACCCTGAGAGTCAGTTTCATTATACATTTCTATTCAGGATTTTTTGATATTTTATTGTACATCACCATTTGTGAAGTACATGGTTATAACAATTCTGTTTCTTTTCCTTCCAACTGCATCCAAGAATAGGTTTTGCACAAGAATCATTTCCACATATTATACTCATGATGGCACATAATCAATTAATGCTAATCATAAATGACATATTCTACCATGCTTATAAGTTGATCCTGAATGAAATTTCTATAATAAATAGAATTATATTGTATTATATTGAAATCGGTATCTGGCTCCTATGTAAAGCTGTACAATTATGCATATGCATATCTCAAGCAACTCAAAAACATTCCAGTGGACAGTGCACAATTTATGAAATAAGTACAAGTACAGGAATTATAGCATTCACTACCTCATTCATTTTACTAGAAAAGGCCAGATGCAATCTCTTATACAAAAACTGCAATAAATGGAGATTATTCAGATGCACTAAATTTCTCTATTTAAATGAAAACTCTTATGCCCATGACCATTGTTGGCCTGAAACATAAATTCCAATCTGGTTTTATAATATTAGTTATGTACATTTTATGTTTAAACATCAAATCATCCCGTATTTTAAAATTTAGAACTGTATAGCAGTTTGCTTGCATCATTTCATCCCTGTTTTATAGCACTATTGTTAACAGCAATAGGAGCACAAAAGCCAAAATCAAAGTAAACAACAGGCATCTTTTTGCTTTCCAGAAAAAAAAGATGGTATATTTAAAATATTCATTTCAATAAAGAGGTAAAATACTTTCTGTGTATTGTTTCATAAGCAATGAGGTAAAAAAAAACCACAAATCCAAATTTGACCATTTCTTTATTTTCTTTTTAAAATATCCTTCATCTGCAAGTCATTCGTATATATGTTGGGTATTTCATGTGCAAGCAAAAAGATCAGGGGAAAAAATAGAGAAACTGATATCATGCAAGTAAGTACTCTTACATTTAGCCTAGGAATTTACAATTAATGAATTGCAAATTTAGGCTTGCAAAATTATTCTCAGTAGAAAAGATGGTGTTTTCATAATAACCACAACATCTGAATTAGATGCTGCCTAGAACCCAAACCATTACGAAAATGAAAGACCCCAAGCACTTGAGCTCTGCTCATGCTACTGACCGATAGAGATGATTAAATTGGAGGGGTGCCTCCATAGCCCTGCTGTAATCTCAGAAAGAGTACAGAGGAGAAGGGTGATCAACTAACCATCTTCAAACACTTCAGCTGGAGCTATGGACCAGGACAGCTATTAAGAAAATAAGATAACCAAGTCACAGCACAGGTGAACACAGTGCCATATATTCAGACATACATATCACACTTTTCCTTGCAGAATGCAGAAAGCGGTTAAGAAAGAGTAAGCCAAATGAATTAAAAACATGAAGTAAGAAAAAAGAAAGATACACTACTTCGTTCTACCTTTCCACACTTTCTAATATTTGCAAATGAACTTTATACACCCATAGACTGATTTAAACATAGACATTTGCTTGTTAAACTTGTCATCTCTTTCTTTTTGAGAACCTATCCAATCACAACTTTCTGTTTTCACTTTTGTCTTGACTCATTCATTCTTCCTTTTTATATTGTTGTAATTAGAGCTTCATTTGTTCTGTTTTTATGACCAAAGCACCTCATCATGTTTCTTTCAGACTAATATTCAATTTTCTATTCATTCTAGGTTCATTCAGCACCGGTTCATTCTTGACCCTATCTTTTTTTTTTTTTACAATACATACTTGTTTGCACTGCGTTCAGTTTATTGTGATATTTCTCCTGATATCTCCTACCCTCCTTTAATCCAACAAAGTAGACAAGAACATACTTCATACAGACTCTTTTGCTTCTTCTGATCAATATTCATTGTTTACAACAAACCATAAACAATCCACTACCTGCTGCCAGCATTTGCACGTATTAAAACATCTCCACTCGTTTTCCTAACTTTGGTCAATATTTTACCAACAGTATATAAATTCAATAATTTGCTTTAGTCTTTGTTACAATATATAACTTGCAGTCATTCACTTAAGTACATTTTCCCTCTTCAATATGACCGCCTTGTTATTTGAATAACTGATGGCTGATTCATATTTCTTGATATAATCTCTTTCACTGCCAATCATTGGGGTTCTCTGCCAACAACATGCTATTGTCTGCATACAAAGGTACATTCACAATTTTGCTGCTAGGCAATACATCCTTGACTTCATTACAAGCTTTCCTTATACATTCATCCATACCTGTATCAAACAACCAAAGAGACATTAGACTTTCTTGTCTTTTCCCTTGTTCAAGTTTTGAACAATTCATCAAGTATTTCATTATTTTCTCATGCTTACTTTCCTCACTGTCAAACTTCTCTGTAGATTGGAAACAATCTAAGTAACAGCAAATCTTTCAAAGTGTTGATTGATAATACTTATTAGAAGGAAAGTTAAAATCACAACATAAGAATTTTAATAAATGTTCTACTTTCAAATGAGAACCAGATATATCTATAAACTTCTAAAAGACAGATTATGAAGTCCAGACAAGATTGAAATTGTTGATGTTACCCTTTCAGGTAAACTAAGAATCCAATATTATGTAGAATGGTAGGTCTACTTTTATTGTACAGCTATATAACAGAACCTTGAAAATCTTAATGGGCTCCCCCCTCTCTTCCTT